ATTATAATATGCTTTTATAGCTTCCATTGCAATATATGTATTCGTAACCTTCAGGAGAAGTGCATATTCCTTTCTTTATGTAACTTAGAATGGCAAACAAGCTGACGGCTCACCTGATGGAAAACGGTAACCGTCGCCTATAGACATGAGCAATACCATGGACATAACAGAGTATACTGTTTCGCCAATGGCAACGCATAGGGGGTATCTATGTGTTGCCATTCCTGAGAACTTAGGTGTAATTTCTCTGTAACCGATAACTTCACTGCCATATCACCCTTCAAACCGAAATATAGCCATGCAAACACAACTGCTTCACGGTAGAAACACGAATGGGACAGAGGTGCCCAAGCAAACAACTTCTACAAAGTTTCCCTCTGATGGAATTAGTCTTACTTTTTTATGCAGTTTTTAAGTGTGTAAAAACTGCATAAAAATTCAATGCATATGTATGCTTGGACAGAGTTTGTTCTGCAAAAAAGAAAATTTTAGACGAAAAAATTGCTTTAATAATTAAATTTAAAACACGGTATTGTGAATTGTGCATCCGAAATGAGGATATCTGCAAAAGAACTAAAATAACCAACATAGCCCGAAGGATAAGCAAACTAAAGTGGTAATAAGTTTTTTTATGGGTGATAATGAAATAGTAACCCCACCCTCGCCATCGGTATACATCGGCGGGGCACCAGTGAAGGATAATAGATAAGGATGAAGCAGGCCAGTTAGTCCATCGTGACGAATTCAACAAGAATTGTTCACGATGGTTTCCAGGGGGAACCACGCAGAGGCCGACCCGATAGAGCGCATTGCTAGCAATGGGGCTGTCAAACCCCATCGCTAACAATCCTTTTCCCCCCAGTGGCAATGGGCTTGTCACATATTTCGAAGAACCGACAACCGATGGGGAAGAAAGGTTCTTGAGTGGTGACCACGTACGGGTAAACACAGTGTAGGACGACCCCCACTAGATGAAATGCTTTATGGCAGTCTGTGAGGGAGTCTTATATCCAGCAGTAAACGGATAATGGCTGAAATAATGAAATATGATGATGATTGTAAATCTGAAAGTTGATTTTCCTTCGAAAAGTAAGTGACTTTTTAATCGTAAAAATACAGTTAAATTAAAAAATATTTGAAGATCATCAAAAACCGTAATAAAATCCATGGTATCGACATAGTCACATATCGTCATAGTCGTAGAATACTGACGGATCTTTATATGTAATCTTCGTCAGATCCGTCAGTATTCTACGACTATGACGATATAATACACAGCGTGAAAAATAAATTTCGGTTATGCAAAGTACCATAACCTTTAAGAACATAAAAGAGGCAAATTAAATTTTAAATTAAAATTTTGGAGATGAATAATTATTTTGCGTTACAATTAAGGAAAGCAATGCTTTCGGAGAATACAAATTAATTCATAAATTATAGCTCTGTATACAATTGTATTTAATTTATAAAATTAATAGGTAAATTATATAAATTGTAAGAAATGTGATAATATACAGAGATGAATAAGGTTGTATCCATGCTAAATTATAAATGTAAAAAGAACAAATAAAAACAAACTAATCTGCATGACGGCAGGAGGCTCGTTAGTCGAGTCTCTACTACGTTAGATTCCAACATGCTAGACAAAATGTGGGCATTGCAAAGATTACGCTCATCGGTTGACAAAGGCTTCTAACTATCCCATCACTCTATCTATATAATCTAAGACGCCAATATACAAAAATAAAAGGTCATTGGCAAACAAATCTAACATATGAATATTAGATTCGTTTGCTATTTATTTGGTGACTTAGATACACATAAACATTTCTTCCCTAATGCCCATCGAAAGAGGAGACCAGAGGGAGACTTTGTACAAAAGTCCATTGCTTGGGTACCTCTGTCCCATTCGTGTTTCAACTGTGTTTCGGTTTGAAGGGTGGGATATGGAGTGAATTTACTGGGTACAGAGAAATAACACCTGAGTCCTCAGGAATGGCAACGTATGGGGGGTATCATTGCGAAACAGTATACTCTGTTATGTCCATGGTACTGCTCAGGTCTATAGGCGACGGTTACCACTTTCCATCAGGTGGGCCGTCAGCTTGTTTGCCATTCTAAGTTGTATAAAAAAAATGTCGGTTTTCCATATTATTACGCAAAATTATTAAAATTACATTTATTAAAATAATATGCATAAGGAAGGCTCTCGTCGTTGATACAATTTCGTCGGCATTCCCTCTTTTGAGCAGCCCCTTCTATTCTTGAAAGGGAATTTATTACATCCGGGAAATGTTGATAAACAAGCTAAGCTTAAAGACAAAGCATTTATAAAGCGGATTCCTTCATCAGCTGTTATAGAGAAGTTAGGGTGCGGAAATCCAACATATATCCTTTTAGATTCAAATACAAATGTCTTCAATTCAGAAGTATATATTATACAGTAAAAAAAAAAACAAGATTATGCTAAAAAACTACTTCAATTGTGGTCAAAACTGGTTATTTTGAATTCAACTGCGTGGCTGTGTTTCGGGTTGAAGGGTGGGATATGATGTGAATTTACAGGGTACAGAGGAATAACACCTGAGTCCTCAGGAATGGCAACGTATGAGGGGTGTCATGGGCGAAACAGTATACTCTGTTATATCCATGGTATGGTGCTCATGTGTATAGACGACGGTTACCACTTTACATCAGGAGGACCGTTAGCTTGTTTGCCATTCTAAGTTGTATAAAAAAAAAAACTCTGATTTTTTACTGATAAAAATTCTATAAAACCAATTTACAATATGTCCTTTTATAACTGACAGAGATATGAGATAATAAGAAAAAACACTACCAAATTAAGAACTGCCTCCTTTTCGAAGTCTATTGAAAACAAATCCATTTGTGACAAAATAAACTTATATTATTATATTTGCCGTTAGCTATTGATTACTGGATATAGGCCTCTTCCATAATAGAGATTTTGCGATTAGTTGCCACGCTGGACAGGTGGGCCGGCAACCACAATTAGACCTTCAATTATATTTATGATAAGTTTACTATTGTAATCTTTTGGAGGAAACAATAAAGAGTATCTATCTATCTATCTTCAACCAGTATGTTTCCTTGGTTGCTTCTTACGACACCCACGGGAGAGAAAAGGGTGACTCATTCAATTCCAGGAATACAGGGCAAGATACAGTTGACGACTGTATCTTGCCCTGTATTCCTGTATTCGACGAGATGGTCTATAGAGACATTATATTAAAATATTTGAATTTAGAATATGGATTCCTGTATCTATAAATAGATTGACCAACACCAGAACAAATCCCATTGATTGCAAAAAGGATTATCGGATTCGGTTCAGAATAGATGGCGTAATGGCGTAATATAGCCACAAAAACAGACAAATTGAAAGACCCCTTCTTTTGTAAACCACTCAAAATGACGTCCAAAAAACATCGAAATCTTTAAGAAAATTCTGTCTTAAAATATCAACAACACACCTGCAATTTCTTTAATGTTGCAGGTGCTTATGGGTTGCAGTAATCACTTACCATCAGAGAAGGCACATACACGTTTGCCTCCTATGTTATAAAAAAATTTGACTTAAGATAAACAAGTGTTCAATATATATTGAGATGGCAATAACATTTAAATACAACATTTATTTATATTTACATAAAAGAAAGTCTATATTATTAAAAATAAAAGGTGTTTAGAATGATAAATTTTATTATAATTATATACAGGTTTTCATACACAAAATTACAATTAAATCTTACTACCCTGACTAAACAATACACTTGGACAAAGTTTTATTAAACATTGTTTAGATACATTTTATTTTGTTGTAATACCGGTTAATAAATTTGAATGTTGTATTAATTTCATTATTTGTAAATAACACATGGAAATAGAAACACGCAATTGCTCTATTTTATTAATTTATTCATAATTCATTCATATTTAAAAAAATAACGAATAAAATAAAAACTCTCTAATTTTTTCTTTTGTTTTTATTTTTCTGTCTATCTCTCTCGTTTCCATTACTATATGTTATATTTGTACTATATGTCTAGACATTATATGTACGTAGAAGAAAAATATATGAGGGATCTTAAATAAAATAATAAAAATTGTGTCGATAACACACAAAAGCAGAAGTTTTTAATTGAATGCCGTTTTTATATTTGTATTTCTAAAGATTTTACTTAAAATTTGATCTAGAAGTGGCTTCCTACCTTCTTATATACACGTATATGAAATTGCTCAAAACGGGTAATAAATAAACAAAATTTAATAACAACAAAATACCCTGTATAAAATTTACTTTGTTGACACTACCCGTAATTGGGGAACAAATAAATTATTACCATTTTAATTGTTTGCCCAAAGTTGTGATCGTGGATGAAGTTGGGTTAATCCATTTATACCATGTAAAGTTACGGCTGAAACAAACTTTTGCGGCCTTCCTGGAGTAACTTTTGACTTGAGCTCTGCATTCTCAATACTTTATCGAACGCAGTTTATATTACTTCCTATATTTCATATGTAACATGTATCGATATAATTAATTCATTATCATTCTGTGATATCGTTATTTTTAATCACAGTGCTATAACTAGTGACAAATCATAAATGTGATTTTCGCTCGCTACTTACATTAATTATAAGAATATTTTTTGTCATTTACTAAAAATTACTGTGAAATTATGCTATCCGGAAATACATTATAAAGAAAAATTATAAAATAAATAGCTTGCTTCTTATTTGTCATGTGGTTCCAGCGTAGAATGGGCCACCCCTTCCTTTCCCGTGGGTGTTGTAAGAGGCGACTAAGGCAACTCACTATTCGAACGATGGGCAACAATCAGTCCCTCTTGAAACATTACCAAAGGCCTGCGGTTGCCAACCCACCTGTCAAGCATGGCAACTACTAACAAAATAACATGATATAATAATGATTGTATTACTTCTTCTTCTAATTCCCAATTTCTATAATGTTCCAGGTGTCTATGGGCGGCGGTAATCATTTAACATCAGGTGAGCCGCATGGACGTTTACCCTTTATATTGTAAAAAAAAAATTTAAAACTCATAGCTATATTATATGCCTATAATCATAATTTTACCTATGTCTTTATTTACAAAATTGAATGTTTACAATGAACTAGTTAATGAACAAACTCATACGAGTAGCTAAGTCTAAGATCCGACATTGTTAATAAAGACTAGCGATTAGTGCCTCTAATATAAACTTAATAGCCAGAAAACAATTTCATATACTCTAGAATTCATATCCCTGCATCGTAACTTCAGTAATAAGCACTCATTTCATATCCAGCTAACCTTATTATGGGTGCTAACGAAGCCATATCGTTTTATTAAATCCTGATAGCGAGTAAAGCTGCCTAGCTCTCATTTATCCGCAGGATGCTTGGAAATGTAAACTAATATTATGTAGGTTTGTCTTTTTGTTTGTTTTTATGGAATACGCGCCCTTTATTTTACAAAGACTTGTTCTGGTAGATGGTTTAATAAGTTTATGTAAAGAGATACCTCGTTTCCTGCCCTCTATCGTTCAGAAAACTAAAACTCATCCAATTATCTGTGAATTTATCCCCTACACATCATCATCATTTCAGCCTTTAGCTGTCCACTGCTAGACATAAGCCTTCCCCATAAGGAGCGTTTTGATAGTAATTGCCTTTAATTACGCTTCAGAGATGTTTTAAGACGAACGATGCTATCCATCCTTCGCCAACCCTTAGTCGACTCTTACGACACCCACGGGGGCCCATTCTATGCCGGGGCATACACGGTGAACACTAACAATTGTAGTAATAGATATTAAAGATGGGCTAATGGGAAACATCAATAGCCGTAAAGATAACTTAGAAAAAAATCTATTAATTCAGAATATACAACCATTTAGAATACATTTGAAAATTAGAGCTTATCCAGAGAATATGTATGCATACATTATTTGGAATAGCCATATCAAATCATACGGTTATTTTCTCCATAACTAGCTCCAATTATGAAATATGAAATTACAATATTAATTTTAATTCAAGGCACAAAACAATGTTCATAATAAAATTTAATAACATCGAATATTATCTCAATTAGTAGGACTTAGGAAAATAAACAAACAATTTTTATATCATATTAACAAAATGTTATTTTGTAATTATATTTTTCTCAAACATGCTTGGAAATGTGAGCATTATTTTGACAATCTTCTTTGAGATAAAATCAAAATTGCCGTACTGGCCAGATACATGCAGGCAGCGGCCGGCAAAAGTTGTATGAAAATCCATATCTGTGGTGTTTTGCGGTCGGATAAATTACTATGTAAACTCATATCTGTCCTGTAATTTAAAAATGGAATGACCTTTTACTTCGAAACATGGCTACTAAGGAGGTAACTAATAAAAGGTTTTATTTAAATTTCGAACTGGCTTGCAAATAGAAAGCTGTTTATTAAAAAAACAAAACAAAGGAACTTTATGGCGCGTGAAAAATTATTATTGTTCGTTATTTGTCATTGACTGTCCACTGCCAAACATTCCCCTATTGTAGGAGGAGGGATTGTTAGTAGTTGCCATGCTTGGCAGGCGGATTGGCAATCGCAGTTAGGCTTTAGAGGTGTTTTAAGAGAGACGCTGCTGCCCATTTCTCGTCCTCCCTTAGTCGTCTCTTACGATACCCACGGAAAAGGAAGGGATGGCCTATTCTATGCCGGGACCACACGGCTATATATTATATAATATATTTATAATAAGTATAAAATAAAATACGTAACAATAAAAAGACTCGGATAACAAAATAACAAACAAAAATGTCTCCATACGCACATTACGCTATCACGTTTTCAACACGATTAGAACAAAAGACTTTCGAGGGATGCCGAATGGTATCTGGCGAGCACTCATTTCCATACTATTAAACCTTACGTCCTGAAATGAAAGGAATGGGAGTGAGGCAACGAAAATGAAATTTTTCTTTATTTTCGTAATGTAGGCTTTTTTGTCCGCGCGTGCGTTGCAGTAAACGAATTTGTATTACAAAACGAAAAATCCACTCAATCACTTAAACTGCGGGTCTACCATGAAATGTAAATTCCGAAATTTCGGACTCAATTTCATGTTTTTGTTTATACCAAAATCGGACCAATAAATGGAGTTTAACATTCCTTTCATAATACATCCTATCAAAAAAATCTAAAGGAACAATATTTTAATATTTTTAATATTTCCAAACGTCTTGTATTATATAATTTTAACATCAAATTTTTGTTTCGTTTGGCTCCGAAATTTCGGAAAATATTTCATGGTAGGCCCTCTGTTTATTTTAGGCGGTCGCTTTTAAGCGTCTTGGAAAGAGCATTCTTAAATTGCCCATTTCTTTGTTTTGTGAGTGTATACGTTATTTTAGTGATACTTTTCGTTACCCGTGTAAGGCTTACTCCCGTATTGGCAGTATCACCTGAGGAAGACATTGTAAAGTTGTCCACTTGAGTTCCTCTGTTGCACTCACTCTTTTTACCATAAAACAAGCGTGATTACATGGCTAAATAGAATAAAACTTTATTCAAATATGCTTGTTTATAACTTCTTTTAAACCGTCATTTTTCGCGATGCTATACTACGATTTGAATGATAGACGTGTGGCAGTGAAATTTTAGAGTACAGAGGCACAACATGATAATTCTTAGAATGACAACGCGTAGAGATGTCATGGGTGTCATAGTTCTGTGACAGTGTCATCATCATCATCACCACATCAGTCGTTCACTGTCCACTGCTGAACATAGGCCTCCCTATTGCTATTGCTAGTAGTTGCTACGCTTGGCAAGTGGGTTTGCAACTGCAATTTGGCTTTTGGTGAAGTTTTAGAAAGGCGCTCCTTTCCATTTCTCGACCACTAAATTCCCTTAATCGCTTCTTACGATTCGTGTTTCGGTTTGAAGGGTGAGATATGGCGTGAATTTACAGGGTACAGAGGAATAACACCTGAGTCCTCAGTATACTCTGTTATGTCCATGGTACTGCTCATGTTTATAGGCGACGGTTACCACTTTCCATCAGGTGGGCCGTCAGCTTGCTTGCCTTTCTAAAGTTGTATAAAAAAAACCCACGCGAAAGAAATGACGACGATGCGACTTTTTCCATAAGGTGGTCCTTCAACTATCATAATCATCATCTCAGATATTATCCGTTCACTGTTGAACATAGGCTTCCTCCATAAAAATGTCCCAAAAATACATAATAACAGAGAAACATTCAAACTATTCCAATATTTACAATCAGAATTCGAGTCTATTGAAGACTAGTTACGGTATACGAGTATATATAGATCAATATTTAACTTGGTCGCTCCAGTAGCCTCATTTAATAAGTAGGTAATTCTATTACAAACGCGGCTCGCTGAAAACTGAACTGAAAATATTTCGGCGGACCGGACGACGGGAAGGTTTTTTCCCCACTCAGCGATGCCATTCCCTGGGGGTGTGTAAGCCAATACAGGTTAATTTCGTGAAGCCGTGTCCAAAATCAACTGGTACGCACGAAAAATTTTAAATATAAATATTAACTAAATGTTTTTATATTATTATTTTTTTTTTATTTAAACTTTGCTTTGTATATTTTATAACAATACTAGCTGACTCGGCAAACGTTGTTTTACCATATACATTATTTCTAGAACTATACATGAGAATGAATCGTACTACAATTATTATATTCAATTGCCATCTTGTAACACTATTGTGGAATATAAAAATCGCGATTGAAAAACAGGGATTGATCGTAAAAGGGTAAAAATTTGAAGTTGTATCTATTTTTCAATGCTAAAGCATAATAAAATAAAAATAAAAATTTTGTCAAAAAAATAAAAAAAAATATTTAAGGAACGGTCACCCTTATCATTGAGGGGTATGAAAAATAGATGTTGGCCGATTCTCAGACCTACCCGATATGCACACAAAATTTAATAAAAATCGGTAAAGCCGTTTCAGAGGAGTTTGGTGACAAACACCGCGACACGAGAATTTTATATATATTAGAGATTTGGTACACAAGTAGATTATAACAAGTATATAGGATACTTCATGTACTTACTGGTTCATGCGGGTAATGCTGCGGGAAATAACTAGTATAGAACAAACAAAGCATTCAATACGTGTGTGTATAAAAATATTGTACTGCCGAAATAGTTTAAAATAAGCAATGAGGCTGATGAATGAAATTTCGTAGCAAACTGACGCTCGGCCGATAAATGAAATGACACTACATTCACTCGTATTTATAAAATGAGGCAAACACTGAATTGTATTTCGACGAATATTATAATAATTATTATATATATAATAAATATGATATGGTTTTAATATTATTATTTATATACAATATTATAATATTTTATACTTATAATAAATCTGTAGAGAGGTCAATTCTGTACATGAAATATATTTGTAAAATAACTATCAGGGGGTGATTAGTGATCGATACTGATGCCAAAAATGCAATCAGTAAAATTTTTGTCTGTCTGTCTGTCTGTATGTTCGTTATAGAAACAAAAAAAATACTCGACGGATTTTAACGAAACTTGGTAAAATTATTTTTCATACTCCTGGGCAGGTTATAGTATACTTTTTATCACGTAACGATCAATAGGAGCAGAGCAGTGAAGGGAAATGTTAAAAATGTCCCGTGCGACGCCGGGACGGGCCGCTAGTATTTAAATAAAATGTTGAAAAAACTTACCTTCCAACATTTGGCCGGCAGCATACCTGCAATGCCGCTGGTGTTGTGGGTGATCATGGGCGGCGGTAGTCATTTACCATCAGGTGAGCCGCACGCTCGTTTGCCCCGTGTTGTAAAAAAAAAAAATCCCGATCCAATAGGAATCATATCCCCACCATTTACTAGACTTTATACAAAAATCTATCTGCTTAGGTCCCTTCTTATATTAAATGGATGATAATAAAATGGTAGTCCCGCTTACGCTATCGGTATACGCTGGTGGGGCACCAGTGAG